ATTAACAAAAATTATGTCTCTGCAGAAATCTCCATAACTGTCCTCTTAACCCTAGAACACTAACCATGGGTATATATTACCCAGCGCAAATTTTCCTAATTTTAAATATAATTTTCAGAACCTGAATTTCTTACCTAAATAATGTTTTTCAGTTCCTATTAATATTAACTCAAAGTACAAAGTTTGAAGTGCCTGCATGTAAAATATTTCAAATAACGATTTATATTTAATATTTTTTTGATATTTTCAAAATCGGGTATGATATACCCATGGTTAGCGGTGGTGTAACTCTAATTGATAATTAGTGTTCTAGTGTTAATAATAATGTCGCACTGAATCATTAGTATACCAATGCAATATCTCATCTATTGAGGATCCAGACAACAAAAAAGTCTACATTGGATGCCCAAGACATGAATTCAAAAAAATGGGTCAACCAACATCAAATTTCATTTAGGATAAATAAATACCGAAATCAGACGTCCCTATCGGAATATTTCTGGCACTTAAAAGAAACCAATAAAACACCTCCAGTGAAATGGAAATTAATAAGAAAAGCTAGAATATGTAGGTCATTAAATGACCCATGTCCTTTGTGCATACATGAGAAACTATATATTACTAGGTTTATAAAAAATAAAAATTTACTTAATCAAAGAAATGAAATAGCTATTCTTTGCCAACATTGCCAAAAATTTTCCTTAAGTGATATTTAATTACAAAAATGATAAATGAAATATACATATTTATATTTGATATTTAATAATAATTCTATTACATTTATTTCTTTTAAAAGATGTATAGTCTATTACTAATTAAAATTAAGAATAATATTTTAAGATTGTAGTTCAATACGACGTATTCATATACAAACAATCCTTTTAGAAAAAATCTTTATGTATACAAGTACAAATTTAATGCCGATACAAAAGTGCCGAAAAACTTTTTGTCGCTGAAAAAGACCAGACGACATGCATTGAACGGATGCCATCATTCGCTTGAAAAGGCACCCTATCCTACCTTCACTTAACCTCTTTTTGAAATTAACTAATATGTTGATACAATAGTTGTCAGTGAAAAAGAATACCCCTTGAATACTGAAAAGAATACTGCCCCTTGTTAAAATGATTGGATTTCCCAATATCCATAGAAACTAATATTATGAATGTATGTGCTTATAAAACTCAATAAATTTCAAAATAAGTTATTCCAAAATTCGCTTGAAAATGAAACAGAACTAGGGACTTTAATTCTATAACTGAATTTGAAGTTTTTAGCTTTTGTTTTTGAAACATGGTAATTCCTGTGTAGCGATGGAACCATGTTTTTAAATAAGTAAATATATAATATATATAGATATATTATTATTTTCTTTTTAAAAATATGATCCCATCGCGACACAGAAAATTTCCATGTTTCAAAACTGAAGTTAAATTTATAAATTTAATAATAAAATTAAACTTAAAATCCGTAGTCACGTTTCATTGTCAAGCGATGATAAGAATTAGCTTTCAAAGAAATTTATTTAATTTTTAAGCGCAGACAATATTGATATTATGAGTTGTTAAGGAAAATCTATTTTAATTTAGGTGTTTTTAGGTTTTAATTTCCCTAGACAGCTTATGTATCCAATATATGTTACTTACAAAGTCAGGTTAAGTTTAAGTGGAGGTGTCTGCCAACAAACGTATACTTACGTTATTCAGTGAGTCGTCTGGATTTCCAATGATAAAAAAAAATTAGGCATTTTCATTCATCCGCCTAATTCATATTTTTATACACAAAGACTTTCTAAAAGGGACATTTAAATATGTGCAAGACAAATTATTAATACTTAAATTTTATTAATTAAATCTTATTCTTATAGATTTAAAGATTAATAAATATATATAAATAATTTTCTATGTCGCGATGCAATCATATTTTTAAAACCTCAGATGGCAACTGGTCTAGGAGAAGAACAACTTTGAATTTAAAACCTGCGGAGGGTCGTTTGGGAACTTGTGGAACGTTCAGCCCTTCAAAAAGTGTGGTTGGTTCTGCACAAAACCTTAATCACTATCATCAAATCTCATTTGTCGGTTCCTAGGAAATGATCTGCTTGACCTTCATACGTCACATTAGACGGGAGAGTCGACTATATATATATATATATATATATATATATATATATATATAATTATTTATTTAAAAATATGATTCCAAATCGCGACATAAGAAGTCCCATGTTTCAAAACAAGAGCCTAAAACTTCAATATAATTATTTAAATTAAATTGAGTTAAAATAAGCTCTGTTCCATTTTTGTATCGAGCACTATTTTTTTTTAAAAATAATAACTAAAATACTAAGGGACTTTGGATTATTTACTTAACCAGTTCCTTCCTATTTTTCTATATATTTTCACACACACACACACACACACACACACATATATATATATATATATATATATATATATATATATATATATATATATATATATATAATTAAATAATTAAGAAAGAGACAACCTTAAGGTTCCATGACTATAATTTATTTCCCCAGAAAATATATTTTTTCATGGTTCATCAGGTCACATCTCTAGTTATAAAAGAATTAAGTTTCTTTATTTTTAATGTAAAAAGAGTAAATTTCTCGAATGATTTAATTAATCTCAATTTGTTTTTCAGAAAAACAATGCTTGTGGAACTCTCACCCGGCTTCGTCTTTTTGCAGGCAACTTTGATTTTCAAAAATTTAAATTCAGTGCCAATCGTTATCTACTGTCTTTGTTGTGACCAAGGAAATGGTAAAGAATAACAAAACAAGAGGTTGGAAATAAATTGTGTATTGAACAGTAAATACAACAGAAGAGTGTTACATGACTTTGAAGTGTGTGTTGGTTCTCCAGCGTTCAATACTATCAGAGTTTCTCCCTGAGGCCTACTTTTCCTTGTAACTTTATAGTAGGTGGAATAGTCCACCATAACCTTATTGGAGGAAGGATGCCCCAAGAGTCTTGTTGCTTCCATTTCTTTTGTTATTCTCTCTCCTTAATAACGTCTTTTTCTTCATTTTTCTCATATTTTCTCACACTCTCACTCAGTAACCCCTTGTGTCTTAGTGACTTTATTGCCATGTTAGGATCGGAATGATTAAAAAAACAAACCGTACACTGGACTTTGTAAAAATTTTATTTACTGTAGGCTTTCCCATAGTTTGTATTTATTTTTTCAGCTTCATACCCTTTGACCGCTCTCGGGCAAATTTTAACCATGGAACAGATGTAGTAGGAGCCATGTACTAATTAACATGCACATTTGCATAATCGTTAATCCGTCACTTGGCGAGGACGGTTTTAACGATTAATTTAATTTGGATCTCTTAATCCGCTATCATTTCTACCTGTAGGTTAAATCTAACCTTGACAGATAACATTAACCCAGTAAGCTCCAAGGGGTGTGAGGCACGGATGCGAATTCTGACCAGATTTATTTAATCTACACAGGTAGGCATTCCTAAGAGAATTAGAAAAATGCAGATGACTCCATGTTGAGGGTAGACACAGAAAAAAAGAAAACTTCCGGACTTCCTAAATAAGGTAGTAAAGGAAAGCGAGAAGGAAGGACTCACTATCAATTGTAAGAAAACAAAATGGTCGTTAATAAGTGGGCCTATCTAGGATGCATGTTATGAATTGGAAGTATCAAAATCAAGCAGGGGCAGAAATATTTACCTATCTGGGAAGTGTTACAATAGAAGACAATATTGCGTTCCAAAATCTCGACACAGTACAAAGAAACAGGAAAATTTCTTTACAAACAAAGAAAGAGTATTGAATGTTATGTATTATAAGCTTTCTATATGGCAGTAAATGCTGACCAGCTTCCTCGAAGATGCAGAGGTGACTTGGTTCTACAGGAGGATGCTGAGAATACCATGAACAGAACATATAAAAAAATGAAGTAATTTTAAGGAAAATGGAAACAAAAAAGCAAACTTTTACTTAAAATAAGAAAGAGACAATCGAAATTTCTGGGGCACATAATGAGAAAAGGGGGCTTGAAGAATTTAACACTCCCAGTACATATTGAAGGTAAGAGGGACAGATGGAGTAATCTACCTAAATAACTTGTGTAAATGGATCACAAAACAAGATCTACAAAGGGTAGGAAGTTGTGGAGAACCATGATCGCCCATGTCCGTTCGGGACATGGCACATAAGTATCATTATTATAAAACTTTAGGGAATATTCTGTTGATTTTTTCATTTTCAAGAAAATCTTGGGTAGAATTATTTGTTGGTCGTGAAAACCTTTCAGGTATTTATCAGTGGATTTATTGCTGACAAAGTGCACTATAATAAGCAACGTCGACAAAGGGTACTAATAAGCAATGTATTCCCAGTTATACCGCTTTTGGAATAACAGAAAAAATAATGTGGAACTTCCAAAATTGAATATAAGCCCGAAAGATAAGCTGACGACGTACTCACAAGTCACTCGGGGTATGCATTTTAGTTAATATCCATCACTAGAAGCATTTTAAGTGAGCACGGAAACGTGCAAACGGGACGCTGTTTCAATGGAAGACGTTCGTCTGGTCTGATGAGTTCCCCTTCTTTCTGAATGTTGTATGTTTTATTGTACCAAGGAAGTTATGATACCCGGATGCGGAAAACAACAAACCGGTGGAAGCGATGATTTAAGCAATGTTCTGTTGGGAAATAGTCGGCTGTTTCATTCGTTCACTATCATTCATTACTGTGCACTACCTGCTTCAGTCTCATGTAAAATCAAATACACACCTTTTATAATACTGAAACAAATCCCAACAAATATTTTTAGAAAAAGGAAAAATTCAGTGTTACCGCATGCATATATATATATATATATATATATATATATATATATATATATATATATATATAACCAATGAAAATGATTCTGTTTATGTATAAACCGTAAAGCAGAGTGTAGAAATAAGTCTGAACTTTTTTTTATTTCAGTTTATTAACCATATGAGTTTAAGAATTGTAGTAGCAGCTACTCAAAATCAGTCAATAAATCTATTTACCTCTCTTTCTCTCTCTCTATCTTGGCGTATTCATTTCTATCTAATTTTGTCTGTTCCTATCTATCTATCTAGTATTTTTAGTCTGTTTCCATCTATATGTATGCATCAGCTATTCAAATCAATCAATAAATCTATCTCTGTCTCTCTTACTCTCTCTCTCTCGCTGCCTCTATCTATCTTAGTTTATTCATATCTATCTATTTTGGTCAGTTCATATCTATCTATCATTGTAATATGTTTAATTATCTTTGTCTGGTCACACCTGTCTATCTATCTAGCTACCTAGCTAGCTATTAACACCATTTATTTATATATCTATCCAGCGAGCTCGCTATGAGCATTCTCTATCTCCATTATCTATCTATCTATCTATCTATCTATCTATCTATCTGTTTTGGTTTATTCATTTCTATATAATACTTTTATCTATCTTAGTCTGTTCTCATCTATGTATGTATGTATGTATGTATGTATGTGTCTATCAGCTACTAAAATCAATCAATCAATAAATCTCTCTCTCTCTCTCTCGCTCTCTTTCTCTGCCTCTATCTATCTTGGTTTATTCATGTTTATCTATTTTGGCCTGGTCATATCTATCTATCTATCTATCTATCTATCTATCTATCTATCTATCTACTTCAGCTCATTATCTATCTATCTATCTATCTATCTATCTACTTCAGCTCATTATCTATCTATCTATCTATCTATCTATCTATCTATATCTATCTATCTATCTCTTCAGCTCATTTATCTATCTATCCATCTATCTATCTATCTATCTATCTATCTATCTACTTCAGCTCATTTATCTATCTATCTATCTATCTATCTATCTATCTATCTATCTATCTCTTCAGCTCATTTATCTATCTATCTATCTATCTATCTCTTTCAGCTCATTATCAATCTATCTATCTATCTATCCATCCATCTATCTATCTATCCATCCATCCATCCATCTACTTCAGCTCATTATCTATCTATCTATCCATCTATCTACTTCAGCTCATCTATCTATCCATCCATCCATCCATCCATCCATCCATCCATCTATCCTATCTACTTCCAGCTCATTATCCATCCATCCATCCATCCATCCATCCATCTATCAGCTCAATATCCATCCATCCATCCATCTATCTATCCATCCATCCATCCATCCATCCACTTCAGTCCATATCCATCCATCCATCTATCCATCCATCTATCTACTTCAGCTCATTATCCATCCATCCATCCATCCATCCATCCATCCACTGTCAGCTCATTATCCATCCATCCATCCATCCATCCATCCATCCATCCATCCATCTACTTCAGCTCATTATCCATCTATCCATCTATCCATCCATCCATCTATCTCAGCTCATCTATCCATCCATTCATCTATCTATCCATCTATCTTCATCCATCTATCTATTCATTCATCCATCTATCTATCTATCTATCTTCTTCAGCTCATTATCTATCTATCTATCTTCATCTATCTATCTCAGCTCATTATCTATTCATCTATCTATCTATCTACTTCAGCTCATTATCATCCATCTATCTATCTATCTATCTATCTATCATCCATCCATCTATCCATCTATCTACTTCAGCTCATTATCTATCTATCTATCCATCTATCTATCTATCTATCTATCTATCTATCTATCTATCTATCTACTTCAGCTCATTATCTATCTATCTATCTATCTATCTATCTATCTATTCATCTATCTATCTATCTATCTACTTCAGCTCATTATCTATCTATCTATCTATCTATCTATCTATCTATCTATCTATCTATCTACTTCAGCTCATTATCTATCTATCTATCTATCTATCTATCTATCTATCTATCTATCTACTTCAGCTCATTATCTATCTATCTATCTATCTATCTATCTATCTATCTATCTATCTATCTATCTATCTATCTATCTACTTCAGCTCATTATCTATCTATCTATCTATCTATCTATCTATCTATCTATCTATGTGCGTGTGTTCTTATTACTATAAATGTTATTTTTGTGGGCAACCGCGTTTGAGTAGACATTCCTATATTTTTAAACAGTTCAATCACTATTTACTGGCCTAGAGGTCGAAAATCTTTCAACAGAAGATATGTCTAAAAATCAGGGACGCTCACACATATGCACCGATAATATTTGTAGCAATAAGTTGTATGTGTGCATGTTATATATATATATATATATATATATATATATATATATTGTGTATTTAGGCAGCAATCCTTCATTTATGCATGTTTCATTAAAAACGATTGACAAGGTACTATGATTAATATTTTTATTTAATTTTTCCTGTGTTCGAAAAAGTGATTTCTTTTCTGGACACAGAATGTGTAGAAACTGTCGAAATGTTCTGAAATTCCGAGCGCTTTCAGCCATACTTTTAGCCATTATCAAGGAGGATTTTATTTTTTCAGTTTAATTGAGTGTGTGCGATATGTGTATATTTTAAGTGTTATGCAGATATTTTATTTTCCGAACACGGTTAGCGCATTGTGGCCTTGTTCGTAGTTAATATTGTTCAGTGTTGGCTTTTTCTTTTTTATTATTAGGGTTTCAATTATTTTTAATCTTTTTTTTTATAGGTGGATGACGTTATTATATTTGTGTTTTCTACTAGTATGTTTCGAATGGAGTTTGGTAAGTTTGAATGTGTGTTTAAATGGGTTCCAATAGAGCTATGATCATATAGGTGTAACGTAAGGCGTCTGGATAGGCATGTAGTTGTATGACCGATGTAATTATTTATGAGTTCAGTTTGATCAGGAACACAGTTCCTTAAGGGGCATTTGAACTCATAGATAATGTTCGTTCTTTGTAATTTTGATTCAGCTGGTGTGTTGTTATTTTTGAGGATAAGGTTAGCTGTCTTAAATTTTTTTATAGTAGATGGTTAATTCGATTTTTTATTGGAACATATATATATATATGTGTGTGTGTGTGTGTTTCATTAAAGATGACCGAAAAGGTACTGCGATTAAGCTTTTTACTTAATTTTTCTTTACTGAATACAGAGTGTGTAGAAACTGTCCAAATGTTCTGTAATCCTAGCGCTTTCAATAATATTAATCACGAATACGGCCACATCATAATCTCCCCCTCCCCCCTGGATTACAAACTTTGCATAAATCGGAAGATATAACCAGAGAAAATGAACTCAGCTCCTAATCAAAGAACTAAGTCAATCTTATACCGAAATTCGACGTAAGAAAATTATATTATCTGTCGATATACCTGAGATGAGATATTGTAATTATTTACACTATTTACATTGTTCGGACTGTTGTCCTCATCTTCGCTGCCATATTCACGACGTTTCATCCGTTGTACACTCCGGCCTTCTGCAGGTGATTGGAATTTCATTTCGTCCACCGATGTAGATTGTTCTAGTTCCACGTGCCATGTCTCTTCCGGATGTCTCAGCACCAGTAATCTTCCTTTAACTCATCTCTCCACGTTTTTGTTCACCTCTGTTTTAGCCAGGTGTTGAACTCACAAGACTTTGGGTAAAGTCATAGGCTTCAACTAACGACAACCTTCAAAAGTGGAACAACACTTCGCAGATGCCCTCTTCCGAGTAATACAACCGATAGAATAGAAAATGACTAAGGACTGTGTCTAGGCCACCCCTACGGTAAGAAATAAAGGAGAAACGGGCTGCTCCCTTAAGATAAGACTACAGGAACCCCGTAAAGCTGTAACACGAGGAGAAATAGAAAGATCAGGCATAGCTGATCATATATGAAAGGAAAAGGGAGATCACTTCCCCCGTGGGATAAGGCTGAAATAATAGATAGAGAACATCACTGGAATACACGAAAACTTAAGGAATCAATGCATATTCTAGGCTATAAAAATCTCCTAAGCCGACCAAGTACAGGAATGAATACAATATGGGAACCAATAATACGGTGTACTAGAGAAAAATAATAATAACAACTAAATTGCAACATGAGCTCTGGTAAAAATTGAAATGGAGACATTAGGTTTATAAATCCAAAAGATTCATGCACTGATGTCCTCGAGGACACACATGGATAAATCGTTAGTTGAATCCAGTGATTTGACCCCAAAACTTGTGAGTTCCTCAAAAACGTAGTGAGTTGAGTTAAATGGAGATAACTGATACTTAGATATCCGGAAAGAGAATGGCACGTAGAAAATAACTAATAGATTAATCAAAAACACTTATAGCTAACAATTATTTGGACAATTACTCCATTCACTAAGTCCAAAATACCTTAGATATCGATTGCTGTCGAAACGCACAAAAATATATAAATATAAATTTTAAAGAAGATTCATCATTATTATTGGCTCTGATGTGGCATCTCGGCTTCAGACACGTTCCCACCGCCGTAAGGTTGCCTCCTTTTGTCTTTTCTATAAATACTTTCATAGCAAATGATCGGAGGAGATCTTCACTATGGTGCCTAGACTCTGAATTTAAGTGCAGTGATAGACTGGTGACAAAGTCTCACCAATTTACAATTGAGTTGGTTATATGCAACTGTACGTTCTATGCTAAATGTCTCTTTTCTCCTTCTTCTCGATTGTGAAACTATCTTCCGATTCTATGCTTCCAAGTCAATTTTAATCTTCGGCAAAATTTGAATGCAATGTCATTCGTGTTCAACTATTCCCTTCATTATTTTTCTTTTGTTCATGCTCCTTACGCGAGTTTCTGTTTTTTAATTCGTCCACGCCCATTAACCCCTTATATTTTAGTGACTTCACTGCCATGTTTGGTATGAACTCGATTAAAATAATAATAATGATAATAATAACTCCTCATACCAGAGTTACAGACAGAAATCATACGGACAATAATAGCTTGGATTGAAATTTCAAACATCAAATGAATTACGCGTTTACACTGACATATCCTCATACCAAGGATAAGTAAGAAATAATG